CGAGGCCTCTGCCGTGCTCACGGGCGTCGTCCTTGCCACAGAATCCGCCACAGAGCCTGCTTCGGCCTCGCCGCCCGCCCCGCGCCCCGTCCCGTTCTCGGTCGAGATCGCCGTCGAGCCAGCCGCCCTCGCCGCCCTCGCCGCCGCCGCCGCCGCGCCCTCGCCGCCGCCCGCTGCCTGCGCTCCGCCGCCCGTTGATTGCACTCTGCCACGCTCGGCGCCTGTGCCTTCTCCGCAGCTCTCGCCCGCCCGCCCGCAATTGGCTCTCTCGCCGGGCATCACCGCCCGGACCATGTCGGCGCTCTTCCCCACCCGGGCTCGCCGTGCGGCGGCGGCAGCAGCGGCGGCAGCGGCGGCATCAGCCTCGTCGGGCAGCGACATCCCGCTGGTAGAAACAGCGCCCCCCTCGCCGGTGCCGTCAGCTCCACCGGGCCGGGCCCGGTCGCTCTTCCCTGGGCCCGGCGACGGTCCCGACTCTGGCGATGGGCCCATGATCCGCATCACCGCCGCCGAGCACCTGCCGTCGAACCCGCTCGCCGATGCTGCCCATCTCTACTGCGTTGTCGCGCTTCCGACCGGCGCCCTGCGGACCGGCCTCGCACCCATTGTGGGGACGCGGGTGGCATGGGACGAGCTGCTGGTGTTTGACGAGCTCGAGTCGGGCGCCCACGCCGCCCACGGCTACATCTGGATCCATGTATGGCAGCACAACCCGCTCGACGCCGACGTGTGTCTCGGCTCAACCTTTGTCCCGCTCGCGCAAGTCGGCGTCTCCGCATCTGCCATGGTCCTCGACCTGCACGCGCCGGTCGAGACCTCGGGCTACGCTGCCCATGCGCCGGCAAACCACGCCGAGCGCGCGGCGGCAAGCCGTGGCGTCGCAGCCCTCCATGAGCGGTATACTCTCATCCCGGCCGCGCTCCAGCCGCGGCTCACTGTCGAAATGAGCATCCCGGGCCTGCAGGCCGCCGAACGCGATGCCGCGCTCGCCACCGCCGCGTCAACGCTCGCCGCCCGCGCCCCGTGTTGGGCCTACCCGCATCTCGAGAGCCCCGAGCAGATCGAGCTGGTCTTTGAAACAGGCGTCGTGGCGTCAGTCGGTGGAGAGGTTCTCGACGGCGTCGTCATCCTCACCAACATGCGGCTCTGCTTCTTTGAGGCCGAGGCGGGACGAGACTGCAGCTCGCGTGACACCCTGCTCAGCTGCGCGCTTCCGCTCGGCCTCATTGCCTGTGTCGACCGCACCTCGCAGCTCATGCTCCACAACGGGTTGACCTCGGTCGCCGGCCTCACACTCACCTCGCGCCGGACAGACGTCCTCCATCTCTTCTTCACCCTCGCCATGTCCGGCTCGGTCCTCGACGGCCTCGAGGCCCGACTTGCGTGGTACGCCGAGACCCAGGCCATCACGCCGCTCACCTGCGAGCTCGCCGCCGCAATTGGCGCACGCCCGCGCACCCTGCCCGAGTTTGACTTTGATGCTGAGTTTGAGCGCCAGGGTGTACCGCAGAGCGTGTGGCGGCAGACAGCCGTCAACCAAGACTACCGCCTTACGCCCACCTACCCGCGAACACTCTATGTTCCAGCCGCGGTCGACGACGACGTGGTCCGCGGCTCGGCCGCCTTTCGGTCGCGGGCCCGCCTCCCAGTCCTGGCTTGGTACTGCGCCCGCAACGGAGCCGTCATCTGCCGGTCGGCGCAGCCACTGACCGGCCTCAAGTCGTCGACGTCGGCTGACGATGTCGCGCTTGTTGCCGCCATCCGCGACTCGGTCCACGATCCCCAGCGCGCGGTCATCATCGACTGCCGCTCCTCGCTCGCTGCCACCGGCAACCGCATCATCGGCAAGGGCACAGAGAACATGGCCGCCTACCCCGGGTGCGACCTCCGCTTCATGGGCATCGACAACATCCACGAGATGCGCCGCTCTTTTGCCGCGCTCCAAACCCTCTGCACCTCGTCGTCCGCCGCCGCAGAGTCCGACTGGCTCGCCGCCCTGCAGACCACCCGCTGGATGGAGCACACCCGTGACATCCTCGTCGCCGCCCTTCGCGTCGTTCTCATCGTCTCGACCGGCGGCCAGGCCGTTACTGTCCACTGCTCCGACTCGTGGGACCGGACGCCACAGATCGTCTCGCTCGCGCAGCTCCTGCTCGATCCGTACTTTCGCACAACGGCCGGCTTTGAGGCCCTGGTCGCCAAGGAGTGGATGGCCTTTGGCCACAAGTTTGCCACACGCCTAGGCCTGGTCCACGGCCTCGGCCGCGCCGCTCGCGCCGCCGCGCCCAACGCCGCCTCGCCCAACGCCGAGTCCGAGTCCGACCCGCTGTCAGGCACCAGCGGAGCGCAGGCTGCGCCGGCCTCGCGCACCTCGCCGGTCTTTGTCCAGTTCCTGGACTGCGTGGAGCAGGTCCGGGCCCAGTTCCCGGCAGCCTTTGAGTTTACCTCGGAGTATCTGGCGGCGTGGGCCGACGCCGCGTCGTCGACCTGGTTCGGCGACTTTGCGTTTGACAATTCTGCTGCGCGGACCGCCGTCTCGGCGGCGCAGCTCTCGGTCTTTGACTACTTTGCGGCGGCAGCGGCGTCGCCCGCTGGGCGTCCGCACCGCAATCGCGGATACGCACCCGACGTCGCGCCCGACGTCCTCCTTCCAGTCACCTCGATCAAGGTTCTCAAGCTCTGGTCCGCCTACTACCTCCGCTACGACGCGGTCTTCTTCCGCCGCTTTGGCCGCGAGGCCGAGTTTCCACCGCCGGCCGCTGTCCGCGCCGGGCCCATCCTCTGGGTCCCGGACGACTTTCAGCTCGAGTGCTACGCGTGCCTCGCTGCGTTCAAGGTCTATCGGCGGCGCCACCACTGCCGGCTGTGTGGGCGCATCTTTTGCGCCGCCTGCTCCTCTAACAGAGTCTCGCTCCCATCGTTCTCCTCGAAGCAGCGGGTGTGTATTAACTGCCACCGCTGCCTGGTCGCCAGTGAGCGCGTCGGCTCGCCGGCGCAGCTAGCTTGACTCTGATTCCGACGCGATCGACGTCGAGTACGACGACGAGGTCGACGGAATAGTGGTCGGCACGTGCGCCGTCGTGTGCGAGCCCGAGTCGGCCGAGTAGTACGAGAGCTCCGAGAGCCGGACGTGTCGGTACGGCGACGACCGCCGGAGGAGCTTGGCCACGCCGCGGATGGCCCATACTCCGGCCGGGAGACACGGCAGGATGCAGATGAGGAGAAGGCCGAGGATAAACGACGTGTCCGGGTCGGTCGAGACATCAAAGACCGCGACCTCGATCGGGAGCCGCGGCACGCCGCATCCGCGAAAGTCGGGCACGTAGTCGGCTACGCCGCGGACCCACGCCCGGGCTTCGGTATCAAACACCGCGCATGACCGTAATGTCGAGGTCGGGATGACAGCCGACACCTTGTTGCGGTCGCACACGGCGCTGAGCATCCCGGCTGCCGGCGCCGCCACAACTAGCTCGGCGCCGGTGTCGGCCCGCAGCAGCGAGAGATAACATGCGCGCGTGAGCTGGATCGGGCTCTTGCGCGGATGTGCTGCACCAAACAGCGGCGCTCTGCTTGTGTTCCTCCCACTCTCTGTAGCATTGAGCGGAAAGCCCGAGTCAGTCTCAAACGAGACAAGGTTGAAGACCCGCGAGGCATCCGGCAGCGCGAGGACTGCATCTGAGCCGCAGAGCGCAGCGGCGGCAAACCCGGCGGATGGCGAGGCACAGTCGTAGCGGACGATGCGGATCGACGTGAGCGAGACAATCGTGGTCGATGCAACCGGTAGCTCGTAAGCAGCAAGCTCACCGGACACAAATGGCACGGACCGCGCCGTGATGAGCGCGTGAAGGATGGCCAGGCCGCGAGCGCGAACCTCGCCCGCAACAATCCGCCGCCGGGTAAAGTCCTCCACTAGCGACGAGTCAGCAGTCCAATAGTCGCGGACAAAGGCGACGCCGGCGTCAAAGCCGGCTTGCGAGATCGGCAACGAGCGTACCACGTACGCCTCCGCCGTGGCTGCCACAGCATCGGCCAGCTGGCTGCCGAGCGGGGCGTAGAGCCGGACTGACGCCGCCAGCTGCGCCGCGCTTGCTAGCACCGCGTCAAGCACCTCGCCCGAGACCGCCAGCGTCGTCGTTGGCGGTGAACTGAGCATGCCGGTCACAAAGTCTGTCAGTGCCGCCATCGCCGCGTTGCCCACAGCGACCGCCGCCGGCAGGAGCTCAGCCTCGGGCCGGGCGAGCAGCCTCTGCGCGGCGATGTAGCGCGGAACAAGACTTGCTGCCAGAGCTGCCGCCGTCGGCACATTGCCACTGAGAACAGAGTCGACGCCAGCGAGCACCGCGGCGGACGCCGCCAGCGGCTCTGCACCCTCGGCATCCGGCACGGTCAGATTGAACTCGAGCCTTCTGGCATCGGCGCCGTTTGTGAGGACGTCGATGGCAAGACTATAGGTGAGCGAGGCGTTGACTGCTGAGCGAGGCGGAAGGACGAGCTGGAGGACAGCACCGCTCGGGCCAAGCAAGACCGGCGCCGGCAGCAGAGCCAGAGCACCGAGATGATCATCAGCCAGCGTGGCGGCAAAGGAGAGCGATCCGTCGCCGGACCACCCGGCGCAGGTCACGTTGAAGCGGGGAAAGCAATGCCGGCATAGCGGACGTCTGCCAGACGAAGCGGGGAGCACCCGCCGCCGACAGCCGGGCCTGCTGTAGTAAAGGTGGTCGAAGCCAGGCCCGAGCCGGATGCGCCGGTGACAGCCACGGCGATGGTGTAGGTGGTGGCCGCGGCGAGCGAGTCGGGAGCAAGGACCATATGCGGGAGATCCACCGGCGAGACGGAGGCTCGGACAGCGCACTCATGCGGCGCAGTGCACACCCATCCATAGCGCAGCGGCGGCGTGAGGCTTGTGGCGGAGACCAGGCGGACCGGAGCCGAGGCAGACGGCCGACCCACTGGCCCGCTCACCGTCACCGACTGGCCCACGCATCCGACCACAACAGCAAGTACGAGGAGGGTGAGATGTAGGAGGCGGTGGGAAGTAGGAGATGGGGGTGGAGATGGGCATGGGGGTGGGGATGGGGGTGGCATGGGGGGCGGGGGGGTGGGGGCGGGCGGCGTGCGGTGTGGTGCTGTAAGGCGACGCCGACTGCCGAACAGCAGGCTGAGCCGATTTGAGAGGGACACTCGGCCCAATCCGGTGCGGACTGGCCGAAGTCTCATCGTACCCATGGTGTGCTTGGATCGGGATGAAGTTGGCCGATGATGAAGTGGGGAAGGAGAGGGAGGGAGAGGGGGGACGACCTCCAACCCGATCTCCTTGACCACCCCGGTCTCTTGGTGTGTGTCCCGAAATGATTGATCACAACGAATGCGTTTGGTAGCCAGCTGCTCTTCGCCAAGACCAAGTTCGGACGCCAGATCCCGCCTCGCCCATCGTCGTTCACTACCTTTTATCCTTGCGCTCACTCTTACGCTTACGCTTACGCTTGCCCTTGCCCTTGCCGCGCTTGCGCGACGAGAGTAAGCGCTTGGATCGCGGGCCGGCGAACCGATCGCTGTCTCCACTCGACCTTGCAGGTCCATCTAGCGTGCGGCTGGCCCCAAACACGGCGAGCGCCTCTTCAACGCTGTAAACGGGCCCATCGTCAGTGTTGGACATGTCCCACAGCCGCGGCAGAGTGTGCGCCGAGTCTGCTCGCCGGCCCCGCATGCATGACCACGGCGGCGGCGTCTTGATGTACGCCCCATCACGGACCATATGGGACCGATCCGAGGCAAAGACCTCTAGGAACTTGCGCGCCTCCACCGCCTTGATCTGCTGCATGTACTTGCTCCGCAGCGCCACTCCCGGCCGGAACGTGTACGCCACATACGCATCCAATGGGCTGGGGAACGGGAGTGATGTATCCAGATCAAACACCATGATCTCGCCCGCGCCGCCCCGCGACCCTGTGCCCGATCCACCGCTCCCATCGCCCGACTCGGTCTCTATCTCTGTCTCGGTCTCGACCTCTGACGCTGACTCTGACTCTGATCCGTGGCAAGAGCGGCGGCCATCGTCCCCATCGTAGTCATCGACCTCTGCCACCACCAGCACATGATAATCCCAGACCACCACATCGTCCGGCGGCGACTGGCGAGCGTTCCGCTGACCCCAGAGCGGCACAGCCTTGGCTTGGTTGGAGATCAGCCAGATCCAGACCCTCCCCACATCGTCGCGTCCGTCGAGCGTCTTTGCCAACCTCGCCGCGTTTTCCTCGCAGTAGCACGACGCATACTCGGGCACAATTCCCCGCCATGTCACCCCTGCCCCATCGCTCGCCATTCCACACCCTTGCCCTGCCCGACAAGCCAAGTGCTGCCGAGCCACCCAAAGCCCGTTGCCCCAGCCCCCTGAGCCGGCAACCCAGCCAGCCGGCAACCCAGCCAGCCGGCAACCCAGCCAGCCGCCAGCCGCCAGCCGCCAGCCGCCAGCCCCCTGAGCCGAATCGGTCACCAGACCTGGCTCACTGCCAGCCCCCTCCCCCCCCCCCTTCTCTATGGCCACTGACTCGTCCCGGGCCCGTCGCCTTGCTCTGTACGCCGAGGCTCTTGCTGACGCCGATGCAGCCCGGGCAGCCCGCCTCGCCTCGACCGCCTCGCCCTACGCCTCGACCGCCTCGCCCTACGCCTCGCCTGCCGATCGTGCGACGCTAGCTGCTGCGGCTGCGGCTGCTGAACTGGATGCGCTTTACGCTCCGCTTCGTCGCGTTCTTGCTGACGAAGCGGCAGCGGCCGATGCCGCCGCTGCCGCCGCTGCAGCCGCTGCCACTGCTGCTGCCGCTGCTACTGTCGCGCCGGCCGCCGCTGCGTTCGGCTCGTCTGCAGCTCGCACGGCAACATCGCCATCGTTACCGGCAGCAGCAGCGGTGGCAGCATCGAAACAGGAACAGGCGCTGATCGAGTCTGAGGTGCGGGCGCGGGCGCGGGCTCTGGTTGAGGCTGATCTCGCCGCCCGCTACCCGCCGTCTATCCTCGGCCCGGCGCGCCCACCCACTCCTGTCCAACCGGCGCTGAAGCTGTCAGCTATGGACGTGATGCTGTCGTCGTCGCTCAGGCGGTCTCACCGGCGCTCGCTTCCGCCTGTGGCGCTGACACCGACGGTGGTACCACAGGCTGCCGGAGCGGCGCCAGCTGTGCCATCGCTCGACTTTAGCTCCGTCTCGCACGCGCACGCTTCGCCAGTCCGGCGATGGCGGTGGCAGAGTGCAGGCGTAGTTGCTGCCAAGCGGCCGGCACCCACTGGTGTGGCGCGCGTGGTACGGCTGCAGGTGGCAGTCCGTCGCGCGGCGCATGCCGCCGTCTCGTGCCCGCCGCTCGCCGAGCCCTTGGTGGGCGTAGCCGTCGAGCGGACGATGCCGCGCCCGGTTGCGGTTGCAGCGGTGCAGACCGAGCCGGATCACCGAGTGGTGGCCATGATGGGCGAGAAGGCTGTGCTGGCTCAGCATGCGACTCAGGCGCTGGGCATGGTTGCGCAGCTTCGGGAGGAGCTCGAGCGGACCCGCCAGGCGCTGGCCGAGGCACGCCAGCGCGCCCCCAGCCGCTCGTGCGGGACCCAGACGCTGGTTCTGCCATCGCTAGAGGAGGCGGCAATGCGGACAGAGCTTGATGCGCTCTGTGCAGACAACGCTGAGCTGCGGATCCGCGCTGGGCACGCCGAGTCGGCGCACACGTCCGCGCTTGCCACCATCGCCGAGCTCCAACGCGAGTTGGCCCAGGCCGATGCGCGCCTCCTCACACTTGCGCGCCACACTTCGCTTCTCCGACAAGTCGACGCTGTTCAGCTTGCCAACCTCTCTGGCACCGCTGCGCTCCAGGCGCGGCAGCTGGCGCGCCGTCCGGGAGTCGTCCCCGTATCGCCGTGATCGCCCGACGTGTTGCGTCTGCGCAGACTACCGATCCACACCTACTTCGCCGTGACGCTGATAGGCGACCGAGCCCCACACCGCCCCGCAATCGCGCCGCAGCCGGCGGACCCGTCAATGGCCCAAGACGCTCCAGCGCTGCGGCGTTATGTCGCACAGCCCGTAGCACCTTTCTGCCAAGCCGCAACCGTGTCACTCTCTCCCACCGTCCACACCACAACTTGACTCAAGCCATCGAACAAAACCGCAGTCAATTTTGGCATCAGCACCAGCGCCACCTCACGCACAACCGCTCCCTCCGTCACCCTCACGTCCACGCCGATACAACACCCAGCCCCACCCATCCCGCTCCCGCCCCGCCATCCCCCATCCCCTTTCTCACTCCCCATCCTCACCACACAACACCAGCAGGACGACCCTCCCCCCTCCCCCCCTCCCCCTCCCCACCCACCCAGCCGACCACCACCGAACAATCCACCATTGCCGTGACATCACCAACGATTCCGCTGACCTGACCACAGCCCGCACCCCCCCCCCCTCCACCCCCCCCCTCCCA